ATATCGAAGGCAGTCTGTCTGGTTAAAAATTCTTTGGATCAAACCAAGCACTGGTGGAACATAATATTGGGTATTCTCTGGTCCTTTTGTAAAATACCAATTTTTTAAATAATGCATTAAATGTTTTGTGGGGTCTTTTTTGTGATACCTTGACCTTTGGATTTCGGTTTAGCAAAACTTTAAAGAAAATGCTACAGTGCTTTGCAGAATGAAAGCCGTTATTTCATCAAAACCATTGGATAAATGATCTCATGTTCTCAGGATGATGGTGCCCATAAGTTGTACTATAACCACCTGAAATGCCCATAAAACATGAATTTAACATAATTTATTTTTTAAATAGACTCCATTTTGCAATTTTTAGCTTTCCCTCTGATTCAATATGCTTTTTTTTTTTTTTTTTTGGTTACAGCTATGCTTAAATTAATCTTCTTGCTTCTACATTTTGTTTCCCTTCACATCACTTCTGAAAAAATCCATCTTTACCACATTTTAGTATTAGCTTTGATAATATCATTGAGCTGCCTTTTCCTAGTGATAAATATCTTTAAAGTTTGTCCTACTCTTCCTGATAAAACTCTCACAGGCTTACTGCTGAATTGCCAGGAGTGCTGACTTTGAACTTTAGTCCATTCTGATAAAGACAAAATAAAAAAAAAAATTAGTCAAAACAGAAGTCAGAGAGTGACCTACTTAAAAACAGCTAGTTACAAAGTTACTATGATAATTTAAAAACATGCTTAAAGCTGGAACTCTAATTTCTGGTATGAATTAGATTATTTCAAATTTCCAACGTCCTTCCCAGGAGTGAGTAACCCAAGTACTGTGGTACTGGCTCTTCCAGGATCAGTTAGAGACATCCCAATGCAAACTGAAGGCAAGGCAAGGCAAGGCAAGGCAAGGCAAGGGGAAAGGCAAGAGGAAAGGCAAGGGGAAAGGCAAGAGGAAAGGCAAGGGGAAAGGCAAGGGGAAAGGCAAGGAAAGGCAAGGGGAAAGTTTTTACAACCCTTCTCAGCTAGTTGTGGTCCCATTTGTTCTGCTTTTTCTCCTTCGCTTCCCATTCACTCCCTTTCAGTACAACCCTGCAAAGCCTACTAATTTAAATTCAACCCTCTGAACTTCAAAGAATGTCACAGCTTTTTCTCTTCCCTGCATTTCAGAAATCTTAAAAAAAAACCATTCAACCTCATTGCCTGTTACTTGATTTATTTCTATGGACAATTCTTTTTACCCATTTAGAATCTCATGCTTCTTCCCTTCAGTTGTTACCGCTTCTCAAACAATGGTTGAGCAGACTTCAGTCTCCTCCTTACGAGAGTCCATGGGACACTCTCAGCTGGCCTCAGTCACTGCTAGGACAGGGTGCTGAGCGGTACGAAAGATCTCAATATTCAAACAGAAATTGTGTTCTGTTTTCTCTTATTCTATTCCCTTGCTTTTCACCTTTTTTCTTCACCTTTTCTTTCTCCTCTCTTTTCCTTCCCACCCTTCTCGCCGTCCTTTTTTCATGGACCATCTGTACTAGGATAATTGTATACTTCTCTAGAAGTGCTGAAGACCAACATAACATTTAACAGGAGCCATCAGCATGGCCCTGCCTACCGATCCCTGGGCTGTGTCTGACCCCGGTTACCCCAGTGGGCCTGATCCTGACTCCCACCGCTGGGACATCCCAGCCTGGCCTCAGGCCATCCCTGTCCCCACCGAGGTGCCTGATGCCCAGGGCTGGGGCTGCCCCAGGGAGACCCTGGCCCTTGCTCTTTAGGAAACCAAGCCAAAGATCTTAGTAAAACTTCACAGTGCCCAAAAAAGCAAATAAAAAAAATAAACCCTGAAGCTCTGGTTTACTCCTGCACACAATTAATATCCACTAAAATCCCTGAGTTTTGCCTTTGTTCCCAGCAAGCCTCACAGACTCTGTGGTTTTATGGTTTTCATCTTGGATTTATAAGAAAGTCAGCAAGCGAGAGTCAAGTTTTCATTTTGGTTTTAAAGGAAAAAGTAAAGTGCGCAATTTTAAAAAGCCATTAACCAATACGTCACTACTAATACTGCTGTCAGAGATAAGAATCTAGCCTCTACCAAGTACTTGGCTATAAAGGCAGTGGGTTAGTCAAGCACAGGCAAGAAAGCACTAAACCACTGAAACAAACCAGCCCATGTATTCCAAATGCTGTAAATTAAAACAATAAACAAATAAAACTTTAAGGTGAAATCAGTCATTGAAGTAAGGTTTACATAGTTTCAATTTCTCAGAACCTACCATTATTACTTTCATTAAAGATGTATTTTCTCCTGCCCCCCAAAAATCCCATTAGCAAGGTGTTTCTCTTTCCAAAATAGTGTTCTGTGAATCAAACCCAGTACTCACATAATAATATGAAAACCCAGAGGGTTGGGGTTTGCCCCCGTGCAGCTCAAAGGTAAAGAAATAAGGTTTGCTGCTGCTTTTTCCTCAAAGTTTAGTGTCATGTGTTTTTTAGGTGGGTTGATATGAAAATTGTTTTTATTAGTCCCCCTATTTTTTACTACCCAATAAGGGATCAATGGAATGAGTACTGTAATTTTAGCTTAGTTAAAAAGTCTATGAACTGGTATTATGAATTCACAGAAAGAAAATACTCTGTACAGTTTGATATGGTAAAATATTTTGTTGTAATCTTGTGTTAAAGCCTCCTTTTGGTAGAAGAGAGATTTTGAAGAATTCTTCCTATTGCTAAGATTTCTTTATTAAGCAAAACTTATCTTCAGGCTTTTTATTCGGCTAAAATTCTGACCTAGTGTTCTGTAAATTTTTTTTGTTAATAATTTTTCAACAGACTAACTAACAGTTATAAAGCACAGTCATATAGATCAATAATAGGCACAGTAAATATTTACATCCTGTACTTAATGCACTTTTTGATATAATTTGAAATATAACTAAGTGCTAGAAGCTCTGGACTAAGTGCATCGTGACAACATCAACTTGTTAATGCTGAGATTCAGTACTTAAGACTGAGCCTTTGTTCCTCAAAGTCAAAGTTATTACTGATTTTGTATTTTGTAAAATGTAAGCAAACTTGTGAGTAATAAAAAAAAATAATTAAAAAATATCACGTTTTAAATGTTAAGGACTGTACGTCATGTACAAATTGTGCAGCAGAAGTTCAGAAGACGGAATGGGCCCAAATTCAATGGAGCCAATGAAGCTAAAACAATTTACGCCAGATGTGAATGTGGATCATTAGTATTACAGCACAATTTCTGACTGCAGCTTTTCAGGCCATTTACAAAGGCATTGATTATTATTTCTCTATGATTGTTGATTAAAAAAGGTAGAATTTACTGACTCATTTCTTCAACCTAGAATGAAGTGGTGAAAATGGTATTTAGCTCACCCTATGCCCGTTTATACTCTGCCCTCTCCCCTAGGGCTGGTCTCTGTCTACATATGCCTCAGTGTACCTATGGATAGAGAGCAATGGGTATCTAGGAGTACGTGCATATTTTTATATGGGTTCAGCCAGATGTAAAGGGAACGTGGATGCTGCGGAGGAAATGGCTGCGTAGCGCCAAATGGGATGCGTACCATAGGCTGAAGATCATGGTCCTGATTTCTGACCTCTCTACAAAAACGTCTTTCTGCAGATTTCCCAGGAAAGAGTCTGTGACAGTTAATTTCTACCAGAGTCAAATCGTTGGCATAAATTTGCAAGGACTTTGGGTATTCGAGCACAACTTTCTAGTCATAATCGCCATCACAAACATCCACCCTTCAGCTATAATTTCCAATAAATCATAAAGAAAGGTCAGAAAAAGAAGAAATGCTTGATTTTGGACATTGGGATTTATCTGTGCAATTAGGGTTTGGGGTCCCTCTTAGGGCTAAAAAATAATAAGCTGGGGACAACAATAACACAAGTTCTATTAAATCATCCTAACATTTTTTTTAGCCAATTTTGCTGATTTCTGTTCTCAAAGCTAACACAAGGGCTGCCAGAGCTACAACAGGTTTTGCTTTTCTATCTCACAGAGAGATTTCGTCTGAACGTTGCATTTGTCGTGTCCTGAACTGGTACATTCTCATTTGTTCCTTCGAAAATAATCTTGATGATTTTAAAGCCCAGATGAGCAAGAGCAGCCAGATCAGGGAGGATCAGCTCAGACATTTTCAGACATCTGCAGAACACACACCTATATCACAGCTGGTCACTTGTACAGCGAGCGGAGACCCGGTCCGTAAAGTGAATGAAATTCAAAGCATGATTCATCGGAACAAATGTAGACCACTGCTTTAAGATGAGAGCACTTGATAGTACTGCCTGCACTGAACAATTCAGACGCACATAGCAACAGATAATACTGAGTATAAAGGAGTCTAAAATGACCAGCTTAGACGTAATCACCTATACTTAGATGAATCCAACCCCTGCTCTGTGAAGGTAAAAACAGGTTAAAAAAATAAAATAAAATCAGTGTTTTTTCCAGCCTAGCCATCTAGCAGACTTTTCTATTGCTATAGAAACTGTTTATTTTACAGTTTTTGTATTTTTTATATAACGTAGTAGACTCTTATATTTTTTCAATCAGTTAATAAATTTTCACTTGCTCAAATGAATTTTCAATGTAAAATTGTTCTGTTTAGAAACACAACTTCAGTCACCGACAAGTACATTCACCTGCACAGACCACAGCGTAACGTTTGTAATCATTTTCTAGAGACACATAATACACAATCAACTTGAAGAAAAGGCTGTGTATTATTTACTCAAATCATTGAAACTTTGATGAAGTAGACTAGCCTTGATGGGTTACTGAATCTCTTCTCTTCTACGGCTTTTGTCAATATGACTTCTCCAGTAACATTGAGTAGAGAATAAAAAAACCCACTCATGGTCATTAATTTATTGTTTATGTCTTGTTTTCAAGCACAGGTTCCCCTCTGAGTTACAGATTTCAGAGAACTAACTGAAAGTTTTAAGTGACTTAATATTGAACAATATTTCAAGTAAGCTTACCGGTTTCAGAGAGCAGTTTGGTAGCTTCCAGTACCTTCTCAGTATAAACTCCAGTTTCATAGTTTTCCATCTCTGCATTAATGATGTGAATAACTCTGGCTGCACGGCCTCGGATGGCACCCGCAGTTCTGTCTAGTGTATCGACATCCCCCTCTTGGAGAGCAATCACACACTTATTCACATCTTCCAGAATATGGTTTTCTGGAATGTAGGAGAAAAAAAAAAAAACACAAAAAAAGCTCATTTCATTTCGTTCTCCCTCATAGCAAAGCTTACTGATTTGAGTAAAAGGCAAATGTCAGTACATTAAAAAATTGATATCAATCCTTACCCAGTTCTGCAAAATAAATAGCATTCTGTGATGCTATGCCACAAAACAGTAAAAATCCCAAGTGTGATATTTATCTTTAAAAGGGGACTGGGCTACATCCTCTAACCTATACTGGGAGTTGCAACCTGTAATTCTTTGAAAAACAGTCACAACATCACGCTGAATTCTATTATAGAGAAAGTGTAATAAAAAGCAATCCCAAAAGAAAAGTGGTCAAATATTATGCAGATGCTCTACTAAATAGTTGGGCAATTTCCTGGAGATGAATTTACACATTCCTATGAACGGTTAATATATTTGGTTCAACGGTGCCTAAATAAGTTAGAAAAGCAAATAAATCATTTTGAAAAGAGAACAGCAAATGGCCTTTGTAGATAGCAGGAGCCTGTGCACAAGCAGTTCATCTCCTTTGCTCTAAGCCAGAGATTAAGGTGTGAACTTTTCATGGCACACAGAATAATCATATATGACTGTGCGTATTCTGAAATAAGAGTCGACAACAGCGAGTCTGCTCAGATGATGTAATATCAAGAAGGTTTATTGAAATCTTGGGAGCTTTATTGTTTTTTCTCAGCTCAGATTCAGGCCATCTACTCTCACGTGCTGCAGTATCATATTTTATGTAGTATTCTCACATAGAGATAATGTGAAAGGACGAAGCAGATTTTGACTAGCTCAGACATTATTTCCCTGCAGCCTATACAGTTAAAAATCATTTCAATAATAAAAATATGACTGAATTTCATATTTGAGCAAATTCACTCCGAGAAACTCAGTGATTCTAAACAACAACTTACTTTTCTACCACAGACACATCGAAACTGAGAATGAAATGCTGTTCTTTGTAGTAATAAATAAAACAAAATCAATCAGTTCACCAACTGCTTTTTGTTAATTATTCTTGGCCACAAAAATAAAATGACACAATAATCTTCACTGTTAAAAACCCCAAGGTTAGATCATTTGAGGGTTTCAGAAATGTTTCACATGATGTTGAATTTTAAACTGTAACAAGTCTGAATGAAAAATGAAAGTCCCCTGAGCTGTGAATCAGAGTAACTTGTAAGGCAAAATCCTTTGTCTAAGAAACTCTCTATCCACATTTTCAAAATGTTGCTTTGCTAAAATATTTCTTCCTCTTCACAATCTCTGTTTTCTTTACCACGGCATAACCAAATTTTGCCCAACAAGAAGTACCTTCTGAATACAAACGTCCGCCGCATTTGGAATATAAAGTAATTGATTAAAATCATGGTCAACCTCTTTTTAGTAGCCCCTGTATTCATAAAACATGCCAACATGACACTCAACATGGAGAGGAGGAGGTGTCATTTCTGAGGTACGTTTAACCGGACACAAGCCCATTTTGAACGCTTCACTGGTTTAACATCCAAAAATAAAACTACCCTGTGTAAGCTGAGGCTTCCAAGTTTACAGCTAGCAGAAACAGACTTTCTGGATACATGAGATAGTTTCCTATTTTTAATAGATAGAGATGTCTATGGACAGTATTAGAAAGAAATCTAAACCCTACAGAATTGCTGCTTCTCATCTCCCTTGGGAAGTTTGGATCTAAGTCAAGACTATCTCAAAAAACATGTTAGAAGAAAATATGATTTGAGAAAAACAAAAAATAAAAGTGTCATCCGTTCAAATAACTTCTGATTTTATGGATACAAGTGCTCGGAGTGAACAAAGCCCTCAAACAAATAACCAAATGGCCATTTAAGTGTGTTTGCCAGCTCTTTGGCTTGTGGACCCGGTCTGCATTTTACAGCTTGGTCTGCCCTTCCGTTGCAGGTCTGTTGAAAAGTGTTTGCCAGCTTCAAATCTCAAATGAAAATCGATGTGCTACCAAATTCTGAAGTACCCTTTTATTCTGAGAGTTCATTTTCATTTTCTCATCATGGCTTGCAGTAAACACTCTAGCAGTGGTGTTGAATAGTGGAGTGTAATTATACTAAACCAAATAGTTTCCCTGTTGCTAATAATAGCAGGATACAACCAAACATAACAAAGGGGAGGGCAAAAAAGAAAATTAAGGATTATTTATTTTAAGGATTTTTTTTCTCCAAAGATCTTAAATTTTTATTAGGTAATTTTAGGAAATGTCAAAGAAAAGAATTTAAAACGAAACATAAAATTAAGACCACACTATTTCTTGATGTTTGGCTCTTCTGTAACATTAGAATAAGCTAAGCACACTTGGCACACTCTATGTCCTTATTCACAACAACGAAATTCACCTCTTTCAATCCATAATAGGAAAATGAGTTTTCTGCAGCAGACAATTAACCCAAGACACGCAGCACTTGGCAATTACAGTACTCATTGTGTATGACTATATGATAACAATACGCTCTGCCACAAGTTGTAGCACTTGACAAGGAGGATGGAGAAAAGACTGTGACACAAGGTGTCAATGTCCTTCTCTTCTGGGACCCAGCCGTGCTTCCCAGCTCTCTGGAAATGTACGCTCTGGGCATGCCCTGACAACATACCTAGATGGGACTGCTTATTTCCCTTCCTCCTACCCCCCTCCAGGGCCTGGTCACCCAGGATGGATGATCAGGGGGCCAGGACTGGGTGGTACATCCGTCCCACTGATCAGACACAGCTGATCTGAGCAAAGCTACAAAATAAAGGAAAGTTCATCTTTCCCACAGCTACACGGGGACTTTAAACAATTTTTGCAAATACTGTCAGCCTGTCACAGGTCTGCAAAACATTTTTAAAAGGTGGCCAAAATCCTACTTTGTGCCTGAGTTGAAACAAAACTTCTCTAGAAACAGAAGCACAAATAGGATGCTATTTTCTCAGAGAGGGAAAGCTAACCATTGCTGCCAGGGATTAACTGGTGTGGCTTGGTTCCTCCTACTGAGTGTAGAAGATCAGCATTCCAATAAGGATGGACTAATGATGCTTTAGTAATTATAGCTTTTCTCTGCTCCAACCCATTACTTTAATTTAGCAGTATATTTTTAGAAGACTCCCTTGATCCCAGTACCTGAAACGGAGAGGAAATCATCCACCGAAGTGATGTCATCAACAGCTTCAGTGAGAACTCGCACTTGTTTCTCCCACTGATCTTTAAAGACATCCATGTTGTCCTGTGCTACTTTGCTCTGGGGTCTGGCAGCCAATGTGAGTGCAGCATTTATTACCTGTTATTCAAAATCATTTGTTACAAGGAGTAGCAAAATTTGTCACAAGGGAAAGAACAGATAGATTACGGTATGTGTTCAAAAATACAGCGTTACACCCCATTCGATATGCAGGTCTCAAGATATGAATGTATTTTTCACAGTTCATGGAAAGCAGGCAACAATGGAATGACAAAGGAAAGGCTATAATCTTCATCTAGGCTTTTTTTCCCTGTCATAGCTAACTGATGCTTTTTAATGCCAAAAGAGTTCTCAAGCACTTTTTAAGAGGAATTTTACTTACCTGTGGGCACAGACTATCAATTTGTGTTGCTGCCATACGGACTAACTTCACACCTTCTTCATTATTTGAGATTGAACAGGCCAGATTTGCAACCTGCAATGAAATCAGCAGAATGAGAATCAAGTTTTAGGCAAGCGGGCCATTTCATACCTTTCTCTCTTCTTACTGAGCCTTGCCTAGAATGAAATAATTGTATACAGGAGGAATGAAACGGCATCTTTTGTGCTGGTGAACAGGAACTCATGCAGATTATTTCCTTACTAGCAAACTGAACTAGCCATCTTCATTTGATTTTTATCAAAAATCTCCCCTCACTGTCAAGTGTTTCATATCCTCCTCTAAAGCATGAAAATAACCTCCTGAGAAGTCATACAGATAATGTAGATCATCCAGACAATCATCTATAAATTTCCTTTCCTCACACTTTCTTTTTCCTTGTATTCACCATGTCCATTATGAATACTAATAATCGGGCTAATCCATATACTCTGAGCTTTGCAAAATAAGGAATCTTTGATGTCCTAACGTACGGAATTCTGCTCTTCCACCCATAAACAAAACTCTGATACCTTCACTGATACTGAGAAGTTACATATTTCTCAAGTATCGTCATTGTTTCAGATCCTGATGGTTTTATGCATGTTCAAATTGTTTTAAATCTCAGGTGAACTTCTTTATTTCTATGTGATTTTCTGCCCTAGAGCAAAATGTCCATTAGCAAGAATATCATAACTCGGTCATGTGAAATGTCTCTGTTGAAAGCCTCATTCTGTAATGTATGCCTGAAGATCTCCTTCAAAGGTGTAGGAGTCTGCTCTGGCACAGCTTTGGGAAGTCTGAACCTCACAAGACTGCAGGCTGTTTGGATAAGATGAAGACGGGGGAGACTTAGAGAGACACCTGAATGAGACCTAGCAACCAGACGATGCCTCCAGACACTGCAGAGCTGCATCTCTGCGTCTTGGGTGCAAGTGGCAGAGTAATGTTCTCCTAGCTCATACAGTGCTGCTTGAAAAAAATCATGCCCAAAAGCTTTGTGCCAAGTCCATGACTCTGCCATGGGTTTTCCAAACAGCAATTCATGTCACACCACACATAATTAAGCTCATCAGTGATATTTAAATCACAAAGGTACATTCTGGGAGAGGGGGGAGACAAGATTTTATTTTTTTTTTTAATCATCCAAAAGTATGGCTCTTAATTCTAATCTACATTAAAACAAACTTATAAAATTTTAAATATGCTTCCTTGATATTATTCACTGTGCCTGAAGGCATAACTATCAGTTGGAAATGATTCATGAATTAGTTCAAATACCCCCATCTTTACAATTTTCCTCCAGTCTCCCCTTGTGGTATTAATCTGTTCTTGTCTCCAGTGCACATCGCCACATTAGCCCTGGTCCATCTGTTCTGCATAGAACCTATTTCACTTCACAGTTATGCAGAACGTGGTTTGCATACATCAGAGCGCCAAAGCCCAGGGAAGAAAACAACCTAAGGCTTCAAAGAGTCTTGCAGGCATTTCCTAGTCAAGATTTTATCATAATGTTGTGATTTTTATTTTCATTTCATGGTGAGACAAATGAGTTAGTCTGTTTGTTAACAGCCTTACAGCGCTCATGTCAAAAACGTTCTTCTAAGCTGACATCTTCCAATTAATTTACCATTTTCTGTAGTCACTTCTTTGCACACATCAAACAGACCACTTTAATCTTCATGAGAAACAAAAGCTAAGCAAGATAATAATTAGAATGCATTAACATGAGTGAAAATTACAGACCTTTAAAACTAGCAAACGGCATTAAGTTCAGCAAAAGCCATCTTCCTGCATTTTAAATAAGTGGTTTTTCAGATTGCCCTTTCATTTTGTGATTATCGTGATGAAAATCTGTCCTAAGGCTTCAGATGCACCAAATATCTTATTTTTTTCTTAGATAGCAGTGAGATATGTGACTGAAAGGGGCTGGGTGTCATGAAATGGCAATCAAACTATTAAGCAAGTCTTTGAGTTCTCTTGGAAGATATTTTTGCAGGAAAATCACTGAAAATAAAACTTATTTCTTCTCTGTCTCTGTTAATTACTCTTTCATTAGAATCTGATGAGATAATATTTGGATATTGTAAAGTGTCCTGATTTTTCAAGGAAGGATACAGACATAACCAGCGAAAACTTTTTCTGCTTTTTTAAAAAATAATTTAGAGGTAGTACATTGTTTCGGATGTCACTATCAATACAGAAGGAGTACAAATGTAATCTAGGCTACATTATATATTCATCAAAAGAGCATTACAGTTATCATTTTAAAAAAATGAAAGTGATACATATCATGTATAATCCTAATCTAAATAGTTTCTGTGGTATATTTCAAGTCTTGCATAAATATAGTCCTGTATCATCAGCAGTCAGAAAGCAATACTACTTTCCCAATTCAGCAGGGAGTATGCCAGCCTGTACCATGGGAAGATCTGATTATGTCAAATAAGCATAGAGATAAGCAAATCCTACAAAGGTAGATGCAATCTGAATAAAATTGAGATACTATGACTTTACTCAGAACTTACTTTTAAAACATGGCAAGAAATAGACATTGCTTGCTAAAGCCTGCATTTCAGTGCCATCATGTAAGCATAGATTTATGAAACAGTACAAGGTTTAAGTGCACTCAATCACCAGATACAGCACTATTTAATTATTTTGATTGACTTTGTTATCAAATACACAACCAAGTTACCATCAATTAAGATTCTTGGCACAGCAAGGCCCATATGCATGCTCTCAGTCGATAGAAACCATGAGGTAATTCAACATGCTTTAGCCTACTGTAAATTCAGCAACTTCAAATATTTTTCCTACCTAAACTATGACCAAAAAATCTTAGACCCAATTCCACCCTCATTTAGCTGAGACCCTTTGGGTAGGTGCCAAACTGATCTCTTTGGATAATGGATAAAAAGAGAAACGCACTTCCAGAGACTGGAAAGTCTCTTTCAGGTCTTTGGTTGACTATCTCATCCTCTAGACATATCTAGTTTCGATTTAAACTTAAATTATAGCTGGCCCTGACGATTGCTGAAAACGGTATTACTGAAATAAAAACCGTTTTAATGGTACATTATAACTTGTTTTGCATGTGCACATTTAATATAACATGTTTTGTGAAGTACCCAGACTCTTCAAGGTTGGGAATTTGTCTAACACACCACTCTTGAGTTAGATGGAGCAGATGATAGCTTGGAAAGGAAAATAAAAAGTCTGTATGTATTGTAGCTGCCAATTTGCCAAAACTTTGATTTGACAGCCTTTACCTTTATGCTTCAAGTGCTCTGTCTCCACCAAAGCATTGAAGAGGAGATTTCATGAGAGGCTGTGGAAGTAACCAGGTAATTAATTTTTTTTTTTTTTTTTTTTCTGTTTACTAAGTTCCTTGAGCATACTGGATTCACTGATTGCCTAAACAGAACTCAAGTTTGTATTAAGATCAATGCGAACTGTCTGAAGAGTATTTATATGAATGAATACATTTTAAATACCAAAATTAATGAACTATGAATCATCCTCAAAATGCATGGAAAACTTAATAACAGTGGAACTGCTGTGTAGATAAACATTATTGTCCAGAATTTCAGGTCTGCTAAGCTACTCTTACACCATCAAAACAATTGCTAAACACCTTAAACCTGTCCTGCAAGAGCACAGAAAAGTAATGTGCAAGAAATTAAACACTCCAGCTCCAGCGATGCTGTATTCTTCTGCAATCACCCAAGCCACTGAACCAATCCTAGAACTGAGGAGGTGAAAAAGTGCCTACCAACTCCTTTATATTAATTTCCTATCACTGGCACTGATAGTTCAAGATGCGATTCTGCAGCTTGCTACGTATCTATCTTTAATCATGCAAATAGTCCCATTAGTTTCAATTATTCATAATATATGCAGGATCAGTCCCAATAAAATGTATTTGCATGTATTTGGGTGCATTTTACCCTCAAGCAGTTTCTGCTGAATAGCAGATGGGGGTAGTGAAGGATTTTGTTTCTAATGTAAATTTTTATTACCCTTGTTGAAAAGACATACTACGGACAGGATTTATTCTACAGATATATGGCAGCTGGAAGTATAAGTACTGTATGGACAGGCAGTGCCTACACTAGTTTTCCACTAGCTAGCAACTGAAGCACAGATTAGCATTTTTTTCACTGTTTTTGCCACACATACTACCTAAGACAGAAAAACTATATTCCTGCCATAAAATTGCACTCCAAGTTACAAAAGTAATGAAGGATCTTTCATACCAATTTTTACACTGATGAAAATCAAGTGTAGTTAGCTTGACTTGTGTTTTTAAACTAGACTATTTCCGATTTTGACTAGAGCTCTTTGAATTATTAAAGGTAATTATGACTGTCAAAATGTATTGTCCTCTGGTTCAACCTTAAATTCAAAGATTTAACATGGCTACTCTGAATTTAATGTAAGTGAAAAGGTGCAAAAAAAGAAGTCCATTGCTTAGAGCAAAAAATGTAAAAAAAGGGACCAGTATACGCTATAGCAAAGGGGCAACATCAACACAAAAGCTGCAGAATATTATTGCTATTGTAGGTAGTCTATTTTTAAATTTTTTATTTTATTCTTTTTTTCTACCATAGATTGCTTAGAAGAAATGATACAAAAAAAGCTCTATTCAGCTTCCCCAACCATTTAACCATTTGAAGGTAGAGAATGCAATCTATTTATATCTTAGTTTTGTGTATTCTTTGTAAATATGGGTGAGGTTTTTTACTTTTGTTATACACATCTTTCCTACTTATATAATTTCTTTTTTCACCGTAGTTAATTGATTGAAATATTAGGAAGAAGAATATTTACAGCAAGTTATTATTTTTTTTTTAGGGAAATATAGTATAACTTAAATCCAAGACACCGTCAAACTTACCTCTCTACACCACGGATTTGAGAAACAAACTCTTGAAGGTGGCTTAAGTAAGAGTCTTCTAAAACATTCAGAATGGACTAAAGCCAAGGAAATAATCGGTTACCATATTTCAGTTGATGAGTTGTAACTTGCAGAACTATGGTATCTTGGCTATTTG